TTTCACTTTTTTTTCATCTCTTGATCTCCATTTTAAGAGAACAAGCAGAAAATCCACATAATAGTTCTGGTCCTATGAATTGCTGACATGATCCTTGTCTGGCTAACGTGTCGGCCTTTTCATTCCCTTCAATTCCACTGTGGCCAGGAACCCTATATAGGTTTACTTGGTTTTGACTGGCCAATTTCTGAAGTGACATTGCACATTCCCATATGAGTTTTGAATTGCATGTTGCTGATTTTAAAGCATGTAATGCTGCTTGACTATCAGACATAATGCAGATATTCGAATGTTTATAATTTCTGCGCAAGTATATTACAGAGCATTCAAGAATTGCTTGAATTTCTGCTTGAAACTCGGTTGGCCAGTAACCCATAGATATTGAGATATCTATTCCTGGACCAGTTACCCCTGCTCCCACACGATTGTTCAATCTTGAACCGTCTGTATGAAAAAACAGTTGAACCTGGTCTGATGTTTGGTCCCCCACTTTCCCAAAAATTACGATCAAATTCTGCTCCATTGTATAAACGATCAAAATTATATTTTTTCTCCATCCAGTATTCATTTTTTAATACGAGAGAATCAATATTAAACATTTTAAAATACTAAGGTGACCTGTAAGATCACCTTCAAGGAAGTAGTATAAATTGATGCAACGGAAGCAGATAAAGTAGAGAATCTAGTGCCATACTCGGTGTGCTATTCATCGCACCAGTTATTGAGAGAGTAGCAAGTCTTTGCAGTTTCCCCAGCTTCTTCTGAACCGATTTTTCATTAGTTTTCGGCCATCAAACCAATGATGCGTAGGATATTCTGGGTCTTACAATCGTCAAATAAATCCAGTGGATCATTTTTGGTTATAGGCCCCATTTCCTACCAAAAGTTTGCTTACTTATCCAAAGAGCATTTATTGCCTTATTAAAAACCTGCTCTATATGTGAATTCCAGTTAAGTTTACTGTCAAGAATGACACCCAGATACTTGTCTGTTCGTGAAAGTTCTAAAGAAGTTTCTGTCAATTTTAAGTTATTTATAGAAAATTTCCTTTTCCGTGTGAACGGTACAATAGTGGTCTTAGAAGGGTTTATATTCAACCCTTCTTTAGTGCACCACGACGAAACATAATTTAAAACAGTTTGCATTATATTTGAAATGACATTATAAAATTTTCCTCGTACTATTATGACTATGTCATCTGCAAAGTCAATTATCTCGAAGCCCTTTTGCTTCTGAGTTTTTTAGAAATTCGTCGACTATTAAAGGCCAAAAAAGAGGCGAAAGAACACCTCCTTGAAGACACCCTTTTACAGCTCTAATTGTTATGGATGAGCTTCCAAGATTTTCTGAGATTTCTCTTTTAGAAAGCATCTCATTAATCCACCTAACGATGCTTTTGTCGAATCCACGCTTCAACATATTGTTTTTCATGGAGTTATAAGATGCATTATCAAATGCTCCTTCAATATCAATGAACGCTGCTAGTGACATTTCTTTTGATTCAAAAGATGTTTCTAGTTTTGTAACAAGCGTGTGAAGAGCTGTTACTGTTGATTCACCAGCTTAATATACAAATTGGTATTTACTCAAAGGAATTGTAATCAAGTACGTTGATTTTATATGCTGATCTATAATTTTCTCCATTATTTTAGCATAATGGATGATAAACTGATCGGCCTGAAGGATTTAGAAGAAGTTTTATCATTTGTATTAGCCTCGGAATAAATATAACCTTTACTTGACGCTAAGTTATCGGAATATAACTTAATCTTAAAATTGCTCTAAACAAGCCTGTTAGAATGGGTGTCAAAGTTCCTTTTCCTTTCTGAAATAGTACTGGGAAAATTTCGTCCCTACCTGGTGATTTGAAAGGTGCAAAAGAATAAATCGCCCATTCGACTCGTTTTTCTGTAAAAATTCTATTGGCCAGATTATGAGCGTCTTTCCTGGCAATCTTTAACCCAGTCGATTAATTCATTGTTGTCTGAACTTCCGTCCTGATTTTTCCAGAGCCAGTGTGCGCTGCACGTGTATTTTGGTCTTCATTTGGGTTGGTATGAATGGAAAGTGTGTTTTCATCATTGTTTCTAATGTTTATTCCACAGACATAGTAAAAGCATAGAGGTAACTCTAAGACCACTGGGTCCCAAAGAAAATCATTATTATTTTTGGCTCACTCAGTACCAGAACAACGGTCCCAAGCAGTCCCAAGCTATTTCACTCACCCCTGCATGTTCTGCATGAATCCACACACCCCTGATGTTATCTGTCAAACTTTCATAGCGAATCAAAACAAACATAGTGTAGTAATAGAATTTCAACTAGAATAGGGTACGTTAATCGTTTGCTTGGGACCAATAGGCTACTAAAGTGGTGAGCCAATTTAAAATCGTTAGTTTCGTATTGATTGTTGGTAAAAGCATAGAGGTAACTCTAAGACCAGAAGGTCCCGAACAAACGTTTTCAACTTTTTGGCACAGCTCTGGTATTCTCTTCGGTCCCAAGCTAATCGATTCACCCCTCGAAACTTGGGAAAATCCACTAACCCCTCATTTTATCTGTCAAACTTTCATAGCGAATCAAAACAAACATAGTGTAGTACTGGAATTTATACTAGAAAGGGGTACGTTAGTCAATTTGCTTGGAACCAATAGGCTAGTCAAGTAGTGAGCCAATTTAAAATCGTTAATTTCGTATTGATTGTTGGTAAAAGTGCCGTCTTCTTTTTTAATAAGTTCTTAAGCCATTTGAATGATTTTTTGAAAAGACTTATGGTAATCTGGCAGCAACTGGAGTATTTTCATTTCACTCGTTCCTTTTAGATCTTCGGATTTCCTTATTACAACATGTAAGGGCCCTGTATTGATCCCATTGTCTTGTTATTTTCGCTCGGTTAAATAGCTTCCGGGTTTTCTTCCGAAGTTTCTCTAAGGTTTTATTCCACCAAGGTACATCCCTATTTGTAGAGCGTTGTTGGATTAAGCTTGAAAGCTGATGATAATTTTCCTCAAGTTCATTGCATGTTTTTGAAGATCCTCTCAAGCTATTGACTCCAACTATAAGCTTTGAGTTGTATTCCTCCTGTTTTCCTGGTTTTCCTTATAGTTTCAATGATTTTTGATTAACTTCATAATCAAATAAAATTTTCCGAGTCATGAAAAGATTCTCGTCAAAAATGGATGTGTTTGATACTTCATATCATACGAATCCATTACTTCTGTAAATATGGTTCAGAACTGATTGTGAAGCAACTGATGATATGACTCTTAAAGAAACCTGAGATGAGCATTATTCGCTTGTCACATGATAGTTTTTCTCCAGAAAATTTGTTCTAGAACCGATTCCAGTGAACCCTGAATGAACTCATGATCGTTTTATGTTCACCCAACCTGATATGGATCATATGATCTCCAATCTGGGATGAAGCCTGAGATTATCGAAATTCGCTATCTTGACGCAAATTAAATTGAACCAAATACCACCAGCAATTAAATATCAAATGAATGGCTAAATAAATAAATTTGGTCAACTGTGAATAATGTTGTCCGTCATCAAATATCTTGACAAATAGTTTGACTAACCATTTTTTATTTTTATTTTTTTTTTTTTTTGTAGTATTTGATCAAATGATTGTTGGTCAAATATTTTCCAAATATCAGACAAGTGTAATGGTTTAGGAAAACATATATGAAAAAGAGCATTATTTGGCAAAACTTAACGAGCCAAATATTTGTCGAATGGGCAAACAGTGCGAAATCAGCTTAAGCCATCATTTACCCCCTGACGGTAATAGGTAAAGAAGTACCGAAGCCGTCATTTACCCTAAATAATACGATTGAGCTGCTTTAATGTTTAATTTTTATAAGCTGTGAGTCCAATATTTCTTCTCTGATTAGACGTTAAAAGTAAACGAGTCTTGTTTCCAGAATTCCAAAATAAATTCCAGCATAACTGGCATCCCTCTTTATGCTGAGCCCCACCAAACCCAACGTCTTTGTTTATAAAGTCTCCCTCAAAGCTCAAAGCATAGCATTTTCCTTTTCTGAGAGCCTGACGGTCAATGCGCTCGCTCAGCCTACTTCTCTTCCTGCTCCGATTACTTACTCCCAGCAAGGTTGCTCTCGCTCTCCGGCACAGAACAGTCATTTTCCATACCACCACTGGTCAGTGATGCCACATATCCTAATTTATTTGCAATGATACAGATTTTTAAGAAAATTCGCTACAGGAAAATAAACAGGGTTAACTACCCTTATAAAAATAACCTTAAACGAACGATAATCCAAATCATTGAACTATTCCACAAATCGTTTGGATGATACCCAGAACACGTCGTTAAGCAAATTAACCATACAATTTTTATTAGGGTACCCCATTCCCGGCCTATTAAGCACAACCCGAACTTAGTCTTGCTTAATCTAGCGTAGTTTAGCACCAAACTGGCTTCCACATTTATTTACCATTCCATATGTACCGTTAGTTCATATGCGAAATATGCGTTTATTGTTGAAAATGTAAAATTGCTCTTGGCGGCTCTACTTGGACTACGGATTTTCATGGGTTTATTAGCCATTGAAACGCCATTAGAATCCCAATTTGGCCAATCGAACGGAAAGAAAAGTGAATTCGCGTGCGCCTTTTGTACACTTCAAGTGCGCCTTTTGTTTTCGAGATCTTATTTTGCCTTATTCAACACTTCGTCTTTCAGCTATTGAATAGAAGCATCATACCAAACTTTTGTTCGGCACGTTCACGTAGATTTTTCCCCTATACAGATTTTGCAGATTTTTGAGCATTTACAGATGAAAACGATTTTTGAAACTCAAAATACAGATGAAGACGTGAAAAACTGTGGCAACTGGCAACACTGATGATGGCTGACGGCGCGCTCTTCTTCTCGCACACGGTTCGTTCAACACAACGACTCCTGCGACGACATCAGCGACCGGAGCAGCAGCAGCAGCAACAACAACATCAAGAGCGCTTTGAATAAAAATATTTTTTACGATTATTACGAAGCTGCATGAAAATCGTACAGTCGAACCTCGCTGGGTCGCATTTCGTCTAGTGAACGCAACGAGTCAAGTTGTTCGGAAGAGATCTAAGTGACTATCTACTGACCGTAAGAAGAAATTTAGTATTCGCTCACACGCCTGCACTGCACTTAAACGCGCCTTACTACTGAGACTAGTTCCTGAATGGTAATAGTAGTAATATTTACCGCTTTGTGTTTGGGTTAGAGAAATTTCATTTCATTTTTGAACCTATGGGAGATTTCGAGTTTGAACATTTCGATCCATCGGGACCGATTCAGTGAATTGTGCCGGATTAGTTGGTTGATTAAATGTTTAGCAAATACATAGTTGGGAGGAGTGAGTGAAAGGTGAAATCGCAATAAAAAGCAAGTGAACCGTAACGAAATTGCAGCAATTGTTTTTGTGATTGATCAAGCAAAACAGAATTGCAACTGAAGTGTGTTCGTTTCCTGGAGTGAAGTGGAAGAAAGAGTTGAAGGTTTATACATTGTAGTGTAAACAGTGCCTAATCACTAAAACGAAGAAAATCCAAGTGAAGTTGTTGAAGAAGAGTTGTGAAATAAGCAGATATCACACAATTGAAGAGTGACAAAAATGGCTGTTCAAGTGGATAGTTTGCTGTTATCAGAAATTGGGTAAATATCATTAGGAAGGGTTTTGCGCAATGAAGAGAGCTCAACTACTGTCGGTCGCCTGAACACTTGATACGGCGTTGGAGAAAATTATTTGATGAACATACGCGAAACTAGGAAGTCGCATGACCTTGAGAGTGTGCCTCAAGGAGAGTCGGTTTCGCCTCGATGGTAGATAAACAAAACCAGAGCACATGGTCCGGAGTCGTGCAACCGTGCTGTGTTGAACAGAAATGAAGGGAATAATTGCATTTGCAGTTGCTAATTGATTCTGATCATTGCTGCATGAATTAACTAACGGTATTGGTCTGAGGCAAACAGTTTGTCTGCCTGAACGCGATTTCTCCATGCCTACTGCTGCTGCTGCTGCTGCTGCGGTGCAACTTAACGATGTGGTTGACCTAGATGGGTGAGGTGAAGATTCGTCGCGTGAACGTGAGAAATGATTCGTTTGTTCTAAGCATTCAGTTATCTTAAATTTTCACTTAAAACCAAAAATAGCCCCAAAAAATTAAAGCAATACCCACCCATCTCTTGCAGTATTGGGTAACCGGTCTCACTTTTTTACGAGTTTCCCGTCTCAAATTCGTTCACTACCCACTTCTACCTACATTGTGGTCTGTCAGCTGCTCGCTGCGTGATCGGAGCTGAGGGATTTTATATCCAACCAACAACACTCGAAAATATTGCTCGCCAATATTTTCCGTGTTTTACTCAGCTACACGTCGTCCGTTCCGTGAGTTCGCTTTCTCAGTTGCTGCGTCCCCATGTTTCGGGCAACGTGCGCGATGATTGTGGTGTTGGAATCCGCGCAACGAACGACGGCACACAAGAGAAAAGGGAGTAAAACGAAGTAAGCTATCGAAAACGGAACGTCGCACATAAATATTTGCCCCTTCATCGTCGTCGTCGTCTACGGTAGTAATGGTATTACTGTAAACAACAACAATCAGAAACCAGAAACATTCTAGAGCAGCTTTTGATGGCTGAGCGTCACCGGCCATGTAGAACTTTACTCGACCTTAGTGGGCAAGAGTGGGCAGACGCGAGGGGATCTTTTATGACGGACATACCCTAATGTAGTAGTACATACTGGGAATTGACGGTGCGTGAATGTTTACACTTTTCTAAAAGTAGAATTTTCTGGAGGTCTTCGACAATTCTGTGTCGTATTTGGTTGATTAAGCCAATTACCTTGTAGTTTCGAAAACAACTGCGTGTAGGTAATACACTTGATCTTAGAGTAGGATGTCATGAAGTGGATTAGCGGATCACGTTCGGCCAGCATGATAGGAATTTAATGGCAAAACAATGGAATCTTACAGTTTGAAAATACCTAAAACGACGATCTCGATCATCGATTTTTCAACTGCTAAGACCGGAAGTAAACCAACAGCAGCATTCGGCAGATGACAATTGCTAGCTTTATCAGATGCGGTGATAATTTGCGTGGTGTGTTTTGATCTATGTGATCTCCACGATTAAAATCGTTCAATCGATTATGTTTAACTGTTACACCTTTTTCGTATGGTGCTCTAGAACGCATCTGTGTGATAACTATAATAGACCTAGGGCATCAGAGTTAATCGATATTCGTATTCCATGTGAAAGGTGAAGCCTATGCAGACGATATTCGCAGTACAGTCTTATGTAGATAGAAAATCCACAGGACATCGGACTGTTATGCGAATAGCGGCAGTATGGAGGGGTACTGCCTATAAACGCATATCAGTCCAATACAGATTTTCGAATTTTTTTTAGATAATAACGCTATCATTCTCTATCAATTGGCGTCTAAATACTTTCATATTATGTGACAAACCTGCGGATTGATCATGAAAAATGTGAAAACAGCGTCAAGTCAGTTTGTCAGTTTGTCTTGATGACATTTTTCTTGTAGATAATAACTATAACATGTTATTACTCTGTAGTCGGAACAAGGCATTAATTATTAGTGTTTTAATTCACAGGCATTATCATACAAACATAGTGTAGATTAAAAATGGATTATTAATGAAAATATTCCAGTGATATGTTTAAATGCGTGTTAGATCACGCAAATCCCGAATAACTTATCTCATTATAATTGTCACTTGCTGATTTTGTGAGATTAATGCCGTTTTATTGAAAGCTTGAACTACACAATCAGACTGAAATCATATCTTTTCTGAACGCCGCAAGCAAGGTGATCAAATATTAATTTAGCTATGGGAAATACTACTAATCACGCTAAACTTATTATTGCCATAATTCATTATCGGACAGTAATTCGTAGATTGCATATTGGTGGGCTGTCCATAGAACATATTAGTTAGTTAGTTTTACTCTTTGATCGAAATAATTCTGGAGTAGATTTATCTTCAGCACCACCATACATTCTTAGACTTGAATTTTGTTTTTTTAGTTTCTGGTAATTTCTACAGATTTTAACTTAGACTATTTTTTTTATCTTGAAATCTAACTAGGAGAAATTTTCAAGATTCTGGAACGAAAATATATGTTCAAGAATATGGACATAGAAATTCCATGAACCCAGATTTCAAATAATGAATGCACACTTAGAAATAACTAATTTTACACGTGGATCCGTCTTTGACACAAAAGATGAGACGTAAACAAACATGTCATGTAAAATTAAGTGCTCACAGACTGAAAAGTTCGTTGCTCGACGAAAAGTACGTTTGATTGAGCTAATAATGAGCGTCTGTTATGACTCAAAATTATGTCAAAATCAGGGTTCTGCATTTTCGAAACAGAGAAAAGAAAATGAGCTCTCCTCAAAATCGCTTCATTTCGAGCAATATCATTTTTGTGTAAGTCATCGTGTTTCTTGTTATCGAGTCACGATGAACATTCCTCTTTTCAAACATGGCAGGACTATCACTTGTTTCGTTCGTCGAGTGCTTCAGTTCATTTCATAAAAAGCAAAGACTTGTTTCAATTGACGCAATGAATGACTCGAAAACTGCTTCCTTCGTTTTTTTCCACTTTCACTTCAATTCGGGGCTCATTCGACTTGTCACGACCTGACGACGCAGGCATCAAAGTATAGTATCCAGATAGTATCCGCACAATATAGGTTGCCGATAGGGAAGGCATCCAGATTAGGTGTAATAATAATATATTATTTTATATTGAACGAAAATTAAATTAACGAGGCCATTCTGCACTCCAAGATGGCGGCCATCGGGGTCAGGGAAAGCCTCAAATACCCCACAATATGGGTATTTTTGGAACGAAGACGACATGAAGGTGCGGAAAATCGATATTCGACGTTATTTTGGAATCCAAAATGGCGGCCATCAAGTTTCCTAAGACGTGTCAAATACCCTAAGATATGAGTATTTTCGGAAAAGAGACAACGCGTGGCTGCCGAAAATCGATATCCGATGCTATGTTGGACTCCAATATGGCGTCCATAGGGTTTCAGAAAAGGTTTCAAATACCCTACAATATGGTTAGTTTCAGAACAGGGACAACGCGTAGATGCAAAAAATCGATATCAGATACCACTTTGGAATCCAATATGGCGGCCATCAGGGTTCAGAAAGTGTCAAATACACTACCATATGGGTATTTTCGGAATGAGGACAACGTGTACATGCCAAAAATCGATATTCGATGCCATTTTGGAATCCAATATGGCGGCCATAGGTTTTCACAAAAGTATCAAATACCCTAAGATCTAGGTATTTTCGGAACGGAGACCACGCGTAGATGCTGAAAATCGATATTCGATGCCATTTGTAGGCTATTTGATACTTCTTCTTAAATTGAATTTCAAGATGGCGTCGCCCATCGATTTCTGGCTTCTAGATGTCAGCCCGATTCCAAAAAAGAAGGCGTGACATCAATTTTCGGCATCTATGTCTCATCCCCATCCTGAAAATACCCACATTTTAGGGTATTTGACACTTTTCCGCAAATCGGAAGCCGCCGTTTCGATTACAAAATGGCGTCGGATATCGATTCCCGGCTTCTAGACGTTACCGGGATTCTTAAAAAAAAACCGTTTGTATGGGTATTTGATGGATTACAAAATGGCATCGGATATTGATTTCCAATCTCCAGACGTCACCCCGATTCCAAAAATTCCCATATTGATGGGACGGCATCAGCATTGCCCATTTTTTCTGAAATAGGAAGCCGTCATATTGGATTTCAAAATGGCGTCGGATATCGATTTCCGGCTTCTAGACATCATCGCGATTCCCAAAAATACCTATATTGAAGGGTATTTGACAATATTTCCCACTTGTTCTGGAATCGGAAGCCGTCATCTTGGATCTCGAATTGGCGTCGCATATCAATTTCCGATCTGTAGAATTCATACCGATTACAAAAATACCAATATTGATGAGTATTTGACTGTATTTCCACTTTTTCCTAAATCGGAAGCCGCCATCTTCGATTACAAAATGCCATCGGATATCGATTTTCATCCTCTAGACATTATCCCGATTCCTAAAATACCTTTATTGATCAGAATTTGACAGCATTTCTAACTTTTTCTTAAACTGGAAGCCGCCATCTTGGATTTAAAAATGGCGTCGCATATCAATTTTCGATCTCTAGATGTCACCCCGATTCAAAAAGTACCCAAACCACCCAACAATGATACATTTTACAACCATGTGTACAGATCAATGCGCACACGCTTAAATGAACCGAGTGAACAATCAACAAAAGTCATCAAAACAGCGCGAATTTGGATCAAACAGCTTCGGTTCAATGCAAAAGTAAGTTCATTTGACAATGAAAGAAGAAATGAACACGAGTCAAGCCAAAACAAACAGCATGAAAACCGATTTAAAGTGGTTCTGTTGATGTTGACGGGGATCTGCTCGAAGAGAAGACAGAATGACTTTCAATTGAAAGTGATGGTTGAGAGCTTCATCGTCACTTGAAGATTTTCGATTGAAAGTGACTTTGTGGGGCCCTGGGCTCGTATATGTCACTCTCAGAGCACCTAAATTTACATGATTTGTTTCTCAGTGTGTGGA